GATGTATTAAAAAAAATAAAATAAAACAGAATTCATATATATATATATATATATATATATATATATAAATAAATTCTATACAACTATACAGATATATAGTTTATGATCTTTATTTTACTGTTTCTTCAGCTTGACAGATATTAAGTTTGCTCTTGGTGTGAATAGACAATTCATCTGTGCGTCATTTTGTTTTTTTGCATTATGCTTGATGTGAAAAGACCTCAAAAATGTTTCTCATTTCACATGCAAAGAGGTTGTTTACATAAAAGTCTTCGAGGCAAATCAGCAAAAAAATAAATAAAAATCTTGTCTGTTTCTAAGGCTCAAGGAGAGGATGGAAAAAGGAAAAGGAAATATTAACATTATAAGTGGGCCTCAGGGAAAAATCTAAAAATGTATAAGACCCCTATAGCTGACCATCCATGCCATGGCCATATAAAAGACTTACAGATGAGGAACATCACAAGCAATCTGTCAAAAGAAGGCTTCACAAAAGTATGAATTAGAGATTAAAAGTCTTGTATTAAACATTCAGCATGACCGTTCATCCTACTAACCATCATAGTGCTCTTTACTTCCAGTAAAGTCTCAAAGCTTTTGTTTAAGATCAAAATAGATTCACTACAGGAAATTTGCTTGGCTGAAGTTTTATTTAGAAACAAAATGATAGTTTGTCTGGTGCAGTGTTTGTAACCATGGCTCTGTTCCGTCTGAGAAACTATGACTGCAAAGACTGCAGTGATTTGTTTTTTCCCTCTTGTTTTAGGTCTTTGACACTGACGGTGAAGGGCATCTAAATATTATTCCTCCTTGTAGTTTTGAGGTACGTTACTTTGTCTTTACAGAATGCAGAGTCCTTCCAGTGGACAAAGCTCAGGTTTACTTGGTTATATGTTAAAAGTACGTTTGTAAAACCGACATTGATGTACCCACACATTTTACATATATAAATGTATTAGTGATGTCTTTTTGTTCATCATGCATGTATAAAAATTATTTATTGTGGCTGATAGATGCTCACATTTTGATTGGTGGTGAGCTGTGATGCTAGTTCAGAAGACCTAGCATCACAAGTTCAGAAGGCCCTGAACATGAAAAGAACAAGTGTTCACATCAGTTGATTTAGAGACAAGACTGGATTGAGCCACGTGTACAATTTGTGATTGCTTGTACGTCTCTGAAAACTGTCCATGGTTCCTCACTGTTTGCCACTTCAGTAATCCATGGAGACCAACACACCAGTGTTGCTAAGAGACCATGTTAAAGGATAGCGGTTATTCTAGACAGCAAGGGTCTTTTCTTCATCATTCCAGCTTTAGCATTGTGGGTGGAGGTTAGCTTCCATAAATGATTTTTCCCAATTTGGAGAGGAAAGTCTGAAGTTGAGGCTCTGGTGCTGAGAGCCACACACACTGAGGAGCGTGAACTGGGCGGTTGCCCTTGGCTGCTCTGTCGGAAAGTTGACCGTTACTGTGGTAAATGAATGCACACTCATTCTACTGCTGGTCAGGGTTTCATTCGCACCACTCGCTGGACAAACATAGGTTTATACAACTTGTCTTAGGCTACTCTGTTTCCCTTGCTAAAAAAGCCATTATTTCATTGAGTGAAATGTGTGGACGGTCTGTACCTTTGGAACTGAGACGTGACATGTTTCCTCTGGTGTGTGTGTGTGTGTGAAGGTGGATAGGCATGTTTGTTTCCGACACCTTAAGACTTAATCTCCACTGAAAGAACCACGGTGTGTTTCGTTTTGAGTGACACATCCTTAAACTAGCATACAATGATGCCACTAAACGTCATGATGTGAGTCATGGAACAAGTCCGTGTCAAATGCTTTAGTTTTAGATAGTCAGTCTTTGAATTTGTTATGCCCGTCTATGAATACCTTGGTTTCGCTATAAATGTATCTAGATCAGAGAATTGTGTTTTAGGATTTATAAGTAAATCGTATAACATCTGCCATTTAATCACACCAATAATAAATAAGGAGATACAATAAAGTGTTATAAATAGGTAAGTAACTAACCAGGGAATAAAGTAATATTCAAAAAGTCATTGCATTTGACCTGATTCATTATTATTTATTTATTTATTTTTAATCTTTGTCATCCTCTCGATTTTCTTTAACAGCGGTTAGGTAGTTTGGCTAATGTTTACTCAATCATGCCACCTGAAGGCAGCCAATGGGATTGCAGCCAGGAAAACACAACATGCATCTATATGCCGAATTACCAGACTGTTACTGTTCTTCTGAAACCTCATCACACCGTCACGGATGTCTTGGCTGAGACCTGCAGGGTAAGATAAGTGCATTCCAAAAAATCCACCTCTTTATTTTAAAGAGTCAGCGTAGTGTTCAGATTAATTACCTTGATGTACCAACACACCCATTTTGATTTGTCAACTGTTGCATTGTTTCTAATTGTTTTACACATGTGCCTGCTATGTCAACACAGACGCAGACACATCATTATGTTTGTTTGTGGTATCATACGTCTCTGCTGAGATTACCCGAGGCTATGGGTGTCATTATAATAGACCGCATCTAGGGAAATTCATTAATAGATGACATCTTGCCCTCTGCATGACAGCTGTGTTAGTCTGAATCTACGACAGCAGGCTGACATTGCTTCAGCAACTGGCTTTTACCACACAAATTAATTTCACACAGTTTTTTTTTTAATGTTTTTGAAAGAGGTCTCTTATGCTCACTAAGACTACATTTCCTTTTGCATTTCCTTTTCTTAGCTCATGGGCCTGGACCCTAGCCTACACTGCTTAAGGCTGAGAAGATGTGTAGGAGACAGGATGGCGTTATCAACTCCATCAGCTGATGAGCTCCTGCAGGACTTGGTAAGATATTGATAATGGCAAAGCTTGATGTGCAGCAGCTGGATCACAGCCCAGTTTAGAGTTGTTGAACTGCATGATTGCGCACTTATCCACACTTCTTTCTCACCCTAGTCATATGACGAATTGGAGGTCAGCCAGCTGAATGTCTACACTCTGCACATGTCTAGACCTAGTCTAACTGGAGACTTTGGTAAGCAAGTCATTGCAAAGGGGAGATTTAAGTGGCTGTTTTTAAACTCATGGGGACTGATGGCACTTTATGATGTGTTATGATAGTTTTTTTTTCTTGTCCTCAAGGCTTTGCTGTTACAGGCTATGTAGACAACCAGAAAAACAGCCGTATCGTTGTCAGAGAAGTTCTCCCTGATGGGCTTGCTTTCAGCGAAGGTACTTCTGCTTGTGAAGTTATAGCTTTTATCCCTGAAGATAGGTTACATTTATTTGAATATGTTAGAACCTTTTTGATATTTGAACAAAGACCAAAAGATCTTCTCATATCGTTTTTACATATTGCCTTTTGAAGGGCATTATAAACTTTGTTTCCTTCACTCCTGTTGTTTTATATAACTGATAGGTCTGAGGCCTGGTGATGAGATCGTGGTTTTAAATGGTTGTGAGGTGTCTTCTCTGGACCTGGCTCTGATTCAGACTTTATTCAACGATCAGAGTCTGCAACTGACTGTGAAACATCATCCACCCTCCATTCAGCACAATACAGATACAGCAAACACACAGTCTCTGCGCAGGGTTAATGTCCAAAACCACCAAAGAGCCAAGTCCTCAACAGGTACAAGACACACATGTACACATGAGTGATTCAGCGGTGCATGTTATTCCAGAAAAATGTTTGATGTCTGTGTGTGCGGCTCAATTTTTGTGTCCGCACATGTGCGAGAGATTTCAAAACAAAGATCTGCTAGGTAGTGTGCTCGTGCTGAACGTGCCCATCCACAGTCCAGGGAGCATACGTACTTGCTCAACTGTGCACTAGACAGAGCGTAACATGTGAAATTAAGTATACCTTAAGTTAACTAAATGGACTTACAACTCCAAAACAATTTTTTTCCAAGCAGCGCAACATTTCGGCCAGTCAGGACTTCATCAGACACAATACCCTTGTGGAGTGAGATGCATTTGAACCCAATTTGGGTTTTTGGATGTGCACTCCATTTTGATTTTGATTTTTTACTATATGAACATAGGTTTCGAGTTATAAAATTAAGTGCTACCAACATCACTAAGCCCTCTCATTCACCTCCACAAAAACATTTGAGACCACTTTTCATGATTCAGTCAATTCTCAATAGTTAAAATCAAGTCCCAACTTCCCCATCCAGTTTTACTCAGACATACATCACATTTAAGAAATAAATTGGGTTGTAATAAACTTGAACAGCTATCAGATGATTACTTTTTAACAAACAAGTTTCTAAGAAAATGCTATTTGTTAGCTACTTTTTAAATTACATAAGCAGTCCAATTCACTAATTGCAAGCTTACGAGTCAGTTCTCTGCTTATATAGTTCTGTGCTGCTCTTTTTTTTATGTAGTTGAAACATGGAAATAGAGAGACACAGCAAATACATTAGGTACCTACATTTCTCACCTGCATGACAGCTGGTGAGAAAGAGGAGTATCACTTTGTTGCTGACGTTATACTGCTTTTTAACATGATGTGGTCTGTTGACAGTGTTACTATCGTATTCTCTCTGTTCAGGTCCACAATACGGCACTAAAACTAACATGCTGCAAAATGAATAAGTTTAATATCATTTTAATGTCTGAGAAATTGTATTTGATCCTGGTTTGTCATCTCGGCATTGCTGCAGTGTTGAACATCAGATGACATCCGTTTCTAAAAATAAAATGTAGCAGTTTTTTTTTAATTGAACATGGCCTAAATATACTGTATCTTTGACAACTTTCTCTTTACTTGTTATGCATTCAAGCTCACTGTTGAAGACATTTGACACTTGTCACACCTCACTTGTAAACTTCCTCCCCAAATTTCCTTGCACTGACTTCCTCAAAGTGGACTGTCGTCTGTACTGACTCAGTCATTTATAAAAGTGATAAACAGCAAGCAGTCTATATACTGTGAACAGGAACAGTGTTGCGTGCTGGTTTTGAACCCTGGCTACTTTTGTCCTTGCATGGTAGGTGTCTGACAGAATGAACATCACAGCACATTTGTTGCTACATTGAATTATTCTTTTGTATTATAAGTGATTATTTGTTCTAAATTACGGAACATGTTTCATGAGCAGTGAGTATTGTGGTTTTCATGTATAGAGCACTGGTTACTCGAGAGTGTTTTGTAAGCCAGAATTATTATTTTTTTTAATAATATCTGTTAAAGGTTTGTGTCCCACTTTATATTAGGTGTCTTAACTACTATAATTAAGTTATAAATGAAGTGCTAACTTCTTATATGCGTTATGAAGTTAAAGACACCTAATAAAAAGTGGGTCTAAGGTAAAGTATTGCAGTATGTATAAATATACCGCTATATATCTTTCATTTCTTACTATTGGTTCATGTCTAAGTCAGTACAGATTACTTCAGTAGTATCTGCTGACTCTATATTATTGATTATACAAAATCAAGCAAAATGTTTTACTTGGAAATGCATGATGGATAAATGAACAAAATTGCAAGACGCTTCAGTGTGATTGTTAAAAATCCACAACAAAGGCTAAAAATGAAAACGTTTGCATCAGTCGTTTAGCATTTCTTGGCAGCTCTTCAACTACCAAACCTGTTTAACAGTTCAGGCGACAAAATGAGACATTTCATTTGTTTCTAGGAACCACATTTTAAAACGCTCTTCCTTCCATCGAACCACCTTTGCACACAAGGAAATATGTTTACTATTCTCGATCCTCACTTAATTTTGTCACCTGTATATTAAAGAAATTAAGCCACAGCTAAATAGTTACTGGCATAGCTTGACACTTTAAATTATTTGGATTGTGGGGTGTGCATACCAGAAAAGGAAGTTTAAAGGGAGGTGTAAAAATTGTATAATTAATTAATAATAATAATTAAAAATGCATGCA